GGTTTGGATTGCTTCTCTCTAATGATTAGTAATTTTGAGTATCTTTTCATATGTTTGATGGCTATTTGTATATCTTTTTTTTTTGAGAAATGTCTATTCAGATTCTTTGCCCATTTAAAAATTTAGTTTCTTTTGTTGTTGAGTCGTAGGAGTTATTTATATATTCTGAATACTAACTCCTTATCTGACATATGATTTGCAAATATTTTCTTCTGTTTCTTTCTGTTTGTGTCCTTTGATACACAGAAGTTTTACATTTTGATGTAATCCCATTTGTCTAGCTTTGCTTTTGTTTCCTGTGGATTGGTGTTACACCCAAGAAACCATTGCCAAACCTAATGTCATGAAGGTTTTCCTCTGAATTTTGTTGGTTTAGTTCCTATATTTAAATCTTTGATCCATTTTCAGTTGATTTTTGGATATGGTATACGGTAGGGGTCCAACTTAATTCCTCTGCATATGAATATCTAGTTTGCCTGGCACCATTTATCCTTTCCCCACTGAATGGTTTTGTTGATGATCATTTGATCATATATGTGGGGGTTTATTTCTGAGCTCTCTATTTTACTTCATTGGTCTATATGCCTTTGTTGATGCCACTATTGCACTGTGTTGCTTACTACAGCTTTGTAGTAAGTTTTGATACTCTGAATGCTCCTGCCTTTGAGATCTAATAGATGTACTTAAGAATACAACTACTCACATTCATCTCCTTTTCAGTATTTGATTTCAAAGTCTTGTGTCCATATTCACTTTCTGTGCAAAGATGCTTTAGGAATTTTAGTATGTTTTAGAAATATTAGGAATAATTCAGTTTTAATTGTTCCTACTTTTAGTTTAGTGGGTAATTTCCTTCATTATTGAATACACTATTTTCTCTATATGTATATAAATGGGTTACAGTTGCTAAATTTAAAAATAATATATACTTATTATGCATACATTTTTTGGTATGGCATATGCTAGCAGATCAGATTTGAATGGTTCTCATCACTTTTTTATTTTTTAATTTCATGACAAGTTACATTGAGACAAAAGGTTTCAAGTTCTTCAGCTTTGTTTGCCCATGGTGACCACTGGGGTTGGATGGAAAAGGCCCAGAGCGCTAAGGAGAAACAGCTTTGTTGTTGGTGACACTAGGATGTAAAACCCTAAATCAAGCACAGAGATTCTAACACAGTCCTGCAACAAAAAGGTGATTCCTGGTGGGATCTCTTGAAAATTGCAATGGCCAGTGCTTGGACCCACCCAAATATCCATGCTGTTCTTCAGACCCCTTCTGATTTGAGGTCTTAGCAGATTCTGTGATTTTTTGTTTGTTTGTTTTATTGCTAGAAAATTTTGGGATTATGTCTGAAAGTCTGATAGCTTTCACAGCTTTTTATATATACTTTCTTATTCGTTAGGCTTCCTTGATCACTCATAGTAGTAGTATGCTCATTGCAGATTACAATCAAGTCTTTTTTTTTAAATGAATTGGTATTTTACTTTGACCTTTCCAATGAAAAATATAGTTATAGAGCTAAATGATACAACTCTTATGTTCATATCCCCTCAATTATATTATAAATTATATCATTATTTGTCAAAGGACTTATGAGGTTACAGACATTTATTTTTAAATCACAGCATTATAAGTATTTATTGGTTTCAAGGATGATTCTAGTCCATACCTGGTGAAAGGTAAAGTGTGCTTGTAATGTGATTTTGTGCATTCTTTATGTCTTTAGTAACACCCAGCACTTCCTTCCCCTGTTTACCACACCCAAGATTTCATTTTATCTATTTCACACGGAATCCTCACACGCCCTTGCATAGAATTGTTGCTATGCTTATTACTAGTGGAATCCATGTTAAATTTTAGCAGGTTTTTTTCCTTCTACATCTGCCTCTTTGATGGTAGCTGGGTTTACTGCCACTCACTTATTAGGGCTCTGGGCCTTAATAACCTTATTCAAACAAAACATCTTAAATGGAGGCATTAAAAAGGTCAAAACAGTGAGCCATTTTGTAACATTTAGTGCAATAAAATGGATATGTTATGTTTGGAATATAAGACCTCTGAGTATAGTTATGCATTTTCTTCATCTATAAAACATTTTAGAATAACAGCTTACATCTGTTTGGGGTTTTAAATTCTACATTTTGAAGAAACTTCACTGTTACATAACTCCAAACCAGACATAGGGAGGGCGCTAGCTTTCTGATAGGCCTTGCTGGGAACTGTGGGACTTGGGAGAAGTGTTGGTTTTCGCTGTGGAGCTGTGTTTGCTCCACGTGGGGAACACATTCCATTATTGTTTTTTCATATGGTGAATGACAAGATGCATGTAATACGATTTTGACTTGAAGATTATTTTTAAAATTTTCACACATCAGGAGTTTATCTTAGGAGGGATATTTCACTATCAGAAACCAGAAATAAATTTAATTATTTAAACATTTATAGCACATTTAATTACCTTAGACTGTCAGTTAATCTTGTTTTAGAGAATAAAGTTGGGATTTACTGCCAATTCACTCTTAAAAATAAATACCCAATGGGATAGTTTGGGTGTTTCAAATGTGTGATTTTAAGATTACTTCTTTAAAGGAACAATTTAACAAATAATATTTAATAGAGGAAAGTGGGTAAAATCCAATACAGGGTGAGGCAAAGGTAGGTTTATGGTTATGAGTACATGAAACAGAGTTTATACTTGTATTATTATTTATTAATTATTGTATTATTTTCCATATAAATAACTGTAAACCTATATTCCCCCCATATTAAGAAAAAGTGCAGATAACACACAACTAATTTATGGGTTATTTTAATCAAGAAGTGAAAAATGCTGTCATGGGAAGTTACAATAAGTTATAAGGCCTTTTTCATCTTATAAGTGTGAAATACATTCTTGTTAAAGTGTGATATGTTTACATTTGGGAGGAAAGAGTACAAAGAAGAACATTAAAGTAATCTCTAATCCTACTTCCTGTTCTCCTCTTGGGTATTTTATTAAATACTGGGTAGTGGTAAAAATTTTGGTTTTAATAATTAATTTAACTGCAAATAGAGCATTTTAGTTTCTTAATGGACAGTGTCAGATGCTTTCATGATTTTATGACAAAAAAACCCTGAACTAAATTGGACTTCTGTTGTAGCACTTTGACACATGGAGTAGGATGTTGCCTGTTTTGAAGATGATGATCTTCTCTGAGATTCTGCTTAAACCAATCTATTGACATGGAATTTTTTTTTCCTCACTGCCATTTCCTGTCTGAATGGAAGACAGATTTTCTTTCTGTGGCCCTTGTCTAGCCCGGGGCTATCATTGTTCTAGCATAGTAAGAGAGATTATGTTAGATTCTTAATTTCTGAATAAATATAAATATTTTAGAAGTAATTTAATACCTTATTTCATGGGCCATTAATTCCTTCAGAATTGCAGTCACACACACTCACACTCACAAATTCACACCCACCCACACTATTAATGTTCAAAGTGTGCATTTACTTTTCAGCAGTGAGCCGAGTACAAGATAACAGTACTAGGGCCATGGCCGGCTTGTGAGCAGTGTTGTCCCCAGCACAGGCCTCTATGGGTCAGAGGGTGGATACTACGTAGCTTGGTGGGTGAGTTCCACTGGGGTTCAGGTACTTGCAAGTGTAGGGTTCTATTTTTAGAATTTTTGAAAGTTTAATTAAAAGCTAATAGATTATACTGAAGGTGAATGTACTCTATGCATTAAGTGCACTTAGATGTATTTTAGGTAGAGTACTACATATCACTGGAGTCAGATGGTCTGAGCTTCTTAATTCTAACTGTGCCTTTAGGCTAGTTACACAGCTTATCTGAACCTCCACGCCCTCATCTCTAAAATGGGCTGGTAATGATACCTCTCTTGTAGGATTGTGAGGACTCAGCAAAATAAAACCTATGAAGTGCTTATACACAGTGCCTGAAACATGAAAAGTGCCTGTTAATTCCAACTCTTACGGTTATACAACTAATCGTTAGTTCTTCTTATGTAAGGGTGGTGTTTAAGACACCATTCATACTTCATTATTACAAATTTCACTTCTCTTTGCTGCTCTTGTGTCTAAATCAGGCACTAAGGAGCCCTCTACTCTGCCAGCGTTGATCAGCTGTTCCTTCTTTGAGGGGTGCAGACTTGCCACACCCATGCTTAGTCCCTTTGGTCCCACGGCTCAGCTTCCTCTTGCCAGTAGCTCTGTCTGTCTCTTCTCTTCCTTCTCCACTCCTTTTCTCCACCTGCCTTACCTTCTCTACCTTTCCTCACTAATCTTCCTCTGGTTTCCCTCTTCTTTCCTCCTCTCTCCCTTTCTTTCTCCCCAACTCCTCCCTCTCTCCAACTTCTCCCCTCCTTTCTCTATCTGTCCCCCTGCTTTCCCTTCTCTCTCACCCCCTCCTTCTCTTCCTCTTTGCCTCTCCTCTTTCTTTTTCACTCCTTTTCCCCTCGGCTCTTTCTTCTTTCCCTTCCCCTACTTTCCTTCCCCCTTCCTTTGTGGCCCTTTCCCTTCTACTGCCTCTTTACTCCCAGCTCTTTCTCCCTCCTTGGTCCTCTACCCCTCGGTCCCCCTCTCCCCTATCTCTTCTTCTCTTTTAAACCCTAACAGTTGGCCTGCCAAGGAGCAGACAGTTCTAGCTTATAAGCAGAAATATGCCAGGTCTTCATTATATGTGATAGGAAATACTGATTTTGTCATTTTAGTAGCTGAGCCTCTCCATATTGTGCTTTTCTTCCACTTGAAAAGAGCATCAAGCATCATTTTCTGCCCCATGAGCTCAAAGAGTTAGAGGAATGCTCATAGTTAACTTGTTTTCTAAAACCTGTATATATATAGTAAACCTATACATTTGTTTAATGTTAGCTTTACTATATACATAGTTCAAGTGAAATAATGTTCTCAGTAATAATTATGGGTTTGTGTAGTCATGCTAGGCAAAATCTCATATTCTCTGCCCAATTTATTTGATTTTTTTTTCTCTCTTCAGATTCCTTTCTCATTGGTCCAGTTTCCCTTATGGGAGTCCTTAAAAGTAAGTTTTTAAATCTTCATATAAAATTCCTCTCTAATTATTATAAATACCCAAAAGTGTCCATGTGTAATAGTAGAATGTAATATTGAGTGCCAGTTTAAAAAACTCAAAATTATGAAGAGCTGAAAATATTTTTTGTGTGTGATCTACATGACAATTAAGTCTTTTAAACTTGTTCAGGTGTCTCATGGTCCTGAGAAATAATCATAACTTATACATCTGAAGACTCAAATGTTAAAAAAAAACGTGCTTCACTTTCTTCTGTTTTGCAGCTGTTTTCTACCCAGTTGACTTTTATTTCAGTTCACTCTGTGTGTATGTATGTGTGTGTAGAAGTTAAGGAATGACAATGAGGGTAAATGAAAAGGGAAAGAAGCAAGGCTCTGACTATTCAGCCAGGCCTCCCCCACCCACTGTCCCTTCTGCTGCTGCTCGCCCACTGGACCTGGCAACCGTCACTGAGATGGAAGGAGCAGTCTGCTGCCTTGTAAGTCAGCCTCAGTGAAGGTTATTCGTGTGTTTAAAAACTAACAAATGAATTTTTAAAAACCTGTTTTCAAATACACAGAAACATTTGTATTTGTTTTTTGCCATGATTTTTAAAATTATGGGTCATCATATGAATTGCGTGAGTGTTTGCCAGCATTTTAAAGACTGAAAAAAAAAAGAAAATTATTAATAGAGAGCATCTTATGTGGTGAGGATAAGTCCTGTTTTGTAAAACTTCGGTGCTGTGCATATGTGCATACACAGCTCTGTACTAGGTTTCATTGTAAACGCATTTCTCACTGTAGATGATCATCAAAAGAATTTGAAGGCCCTTGTTCAAATGAAAGTGGTTGACAAATCACCAAACTGTAAAATGGTAAAGTATCTAGGTAGGCACTGATAACACAGAAAATAAAGAGATGACTCCCATTGTTGTTGTGGACTTAGTAATCGTGTGGTGTGCTTGTGCAAAATGTCTGTTGAAGAGTAACAAAGATTATCTGTACTCTAAAAATACATTCTATTGTAGTTATAATATGAAGATAATAACATGAGACAGAACATTAATCATAAAAAACAAACTCTGGAATAGTAAGTGTTGAGAAATAGTACTTACAAGTGATCTGATTTAAGGAGTAGCACAGTTTATTTAATAAGGGTTTCGGGTCTTTTATTGCTGTTGTTTTGTTTGTTTTTACCATTTTCTCTGTGCTGCTTGGCGAATGGATCTCTCAGGCAGGGTTTCCTGACGTGATGTAACAGCTATACAACGAGAAGGTCACATTCCATGAGCATAACAGCGCCCCCTTTTTTGTGAGTGACAAAGGAACAATGGAGCCAGCAGCTGTCCAGCAAACAAGACTCACTTCATTAGTGCCTCAATAACCAGCATTCACGCTGCTTCTGCACTCCAACATCCTGTGCCCTGTCTCTGCACAGGAATGTTTTGAGGCCCAAAAAGGGAAAAAACACATGGTTTATTTCTTTCCAGTATTAAGGACATTTGTAATATTCTAGCTAGTTAAGAAATGTATAGAACTTCACAGAGTAATCATAGATAACAATGTTGAGTTTTAACAGTTTTCTTTGAGCAATTATTAAGATGCTATAGTGTTTTTTTAAAGTTGGGTTTATTGAGGAATAATTTTCTGACAGGAAAATTCAACCTTTATAAGTGTACAGTTTTAGAGTTTTGATAAATGTTTATTACTGCCATCATAACCATAATGTCTATAGAATATTTGTAATTTTTCCTTTTTCTAGACTACCGTATAAATAGAACCACATACTATTAAGCATTTTGTGCCTGTTTTTTTCCCCCATGTACATTCATGTTTTTGCCTGTAGCAGCAAAATGTTGCTAAATAGTGTGCCATGGTATGGAGGTAGTAGTTTATCTGTTCACTAGTTTGTGCACATTTGAGTTCTTTGATGATTATGAATAAAGCTGCTATAAATATTTGCATGTAGGTATTTGTAAGGATGTATGTTTTTGTTTCTCTTGGGTAAGTATCTAGGAGTGGGATTGCTGGTTCATAGGGAAAGTGTAAGTTTAGTTTTGTAATTAACTGAAGTGTTTTCCAAAGTGGCTGGGTCATTTCACAACAATATATGAGAGTTCCAGTTGCTTTGCATTCACATTGTTGCTTGTTGTTATTAGATTCTTAAAAAATTTAGCCATTCTGATAGTTGTATACTGCCATCTCATTGTGGTATGAATTTACAGTTCTCTCATGGTTAAATAATAATGAGCATCTTTTCATATAGTAGTGTTTTAAAAAATCTAAATGTGAAATCACAATGCTTTTTAGAAGCAATTTTTGGCCCTTATTTTTGTGTTTATGATTTTATCCATTTCACTTTGCTTTTCAAACACAGAGATTGTATTATATGGAAGGGTTTTTCTATTATGTTTATATGGAAATACTACTTGGTGAGATTTTTCTGGGCAAGGACTTGAGAGGATAGCATGCTATTGTACTGTAAGGAGTGGGCATCAGGAGGCGGGGGTGGCCACTTTCAGCTTAAACTTACTCTGCGTGAAATGGAAGGTACCAGCTCTCTTTTAAAATCACTTTCTACTGCCCTCTCTCTGATTTCCATCAACCATGCTGAGTGCTTGGTCTCAAACCCCAAATTAAAATCTGAGTCTCTCTTTTGTTCTCCTCTGTATCTTATCACTCATGAAGTTTGGTTGACTTGGATTTTTTGGAACCTGTGGCCTCCTTTTTATCAGATTCTTATTAACTTATGCCTGGACTAAGTTAACAGAGTTGCTGTGCTTTCTCATCCACTCTACATGCTGAGTTTGTGTGATCTTTCTTAAACATCTTTGAAGTTCTTAGAAATGTGTAACTTTCTAAAACTCTAAATCATAAAGTTGTGGCCTTTAAGGATGTCCACATTGTGTTCCCACTAGTTTTTCCATTTTCCCTCTCCTTATGCATTTTTTTACAAAGTCATTTCCCTCCAGCCAGAATATTATGGAGCTTCAGGCTCCCTCCTGGATGCTGTGCATGGAGCCAGGATGGCCATGACCATGATACGTCTAGGGCTGCAAGGTTGTGTGCTCCTGGATGGGAGAGCATGCAAACATACCAGCAAATGCTTCAGCAGGTCAGCAAGAGAGAGACTCCCTCCTGAAGGTCATGGGCCACATGACTGATAAGATCACATGGCCCATGGAGAGGACAGGTCAATGCACCATCTAAGTGCAGCAAATGATGCACTTACAATGAACAAGAGCAGAGCCAGTCCTGAACAGCAAGCCAAGAGCAAGAGCAGAATTGGTCCTGAGGAGTGACCTACAGGTAGGAGCAAAGCTGGCCCACATCAGTGAGCCACAAACAAGAGAGAGGGTTTCTTTGTTTTGCTGGGGCTATATCCATTTTGGGTATGGGAGGGGCTAAATGCTTTCTCCCAGAGAAAGACCGATTAAGTTCCTAAACTTTCGTGTGCTTTGAGTGGGTCCACCCCGTAACCAATCCCTTTTTTCCCCAGGCTAGACTGATAGGCCTCTTTGGTCCAGGACCTCCTGATGCCACCATTCTGACTTCTGATTTCTAGGGCACATGTGCCTGCCACCTGTGGTCCCACCCCCAGTCTGGTATGGGAAGGGCAGGGCAAGGGCTTTTCCTCTTACCCAATTATCTTTCTAGCTTTTGGTGTCCTCTGGCCCCCTCCATTTGTTTTTGCAGCTTTCTGCGGGCCTGGGTCTTTACCATTCATATTTTCAGCCTTCAGCCCCCTCAGTTTAAGAATCGCCCCCTGCTGCCATGTCACTGGTGGAGACTCCCCTGCCTCCACGGGTTCCCAGGTCCCGAGTCTGCCCAGCTTCCCTGCCCTTGGGGCCTTGTGGCATGTCTGGTCACGGTGGCTGCAGTGGCTCTGCCATCTCTGGGCAAGTGCTGTGCTGCAGCTGGGCCCAATCACCGCTCCCATGGGGGGAGGCAGTGCCTTGCCCCAGGAGGTGTCTGCCATGGTTCCCACCACCTCTGGGCTGGGCAGTTGGGCGGCTAAACTGCCACGATCATCCAAGCCTCTGCACTACTCGCCTCACCTGCAGAGGGACACTCCCTCCTCCCTGCAGCTCAGCACAGTCCTCCAGGCATTGGGTGCCTCAGCTCACTGAGAAGGGGCAGGCTAAAGGTATGGGCTCATCCACTGGTAACAAGAATAGGAGCCTTATTGCCCCTGTTCTGTGGCTCCTTTTTGCAGTGTGCATCCGCAGGTCTAAGTACCATGCACCTTTTTAGCCACTTCAGGTTTTTTTTCCTTCTGGGTGAAGTATTTCAATCCAGGATTGGAAAATTTACTTTTACTAACCAAGCATTTGTCTATATTGCTGATTGGTATGTAATCATGCACTATATTGTGTTTAAAACATCTTGGAACTAAGCCTTATATTGGAACAAGGCCTCAATCACTTTCATTTACAGACATGTGACGCACACCATCAGTGTACACGTACTGTCTGCCTGCTCTGGGCTAGGCATTGTTCCATTTCACAGTAATGCAAAGATAAGACATAATTCATGCCCTTAGGAGGCTTCTAATCTACCAGAGACACCACAGATCACTTCAAGGTACTGTGTCAGTCGTTGAAGACCAGGCAAGATAATGTGGGAGCCAGCCTGCCAGACTCCCCAAATCATGTCACTGCAGTACCTCATTTCATGCATATATATGTACATATATGTAATAATACATATACTTAAAAAAGAGTTTAGATAAAAGACTAGATACCATAAAGAGGAGGGGAAGTAAGAGGAGTATATTATCATATGCAGAATTTCTGAGACGATAATTGTTCTTTATGTTGAGTTTGGAGCTTTCTGGCAGCCAAGCAGGAAGAGAAATGTGATAGATTACATGTTTCTTATTTTCTGATAAAGACTCATACATAGCTTCTTAGTTGATCTTGTCACTGACTTTGGATGACTTGACATGTGTAGCTTAGCCGTGGACCACCTCCTCACAGTTATAGCCTAATTTGACCAGCTTGCTAGTAG